GACACCGCGGGGTTCTCAGCGCCGCGCTGCGCCTCGTGCTCCCCGCACGCGCACCTGGAACGGCTCAGGGCGGCGGCCGAGACGCTGGGCTCGTCCCAGACCTCTGCGGGGAGCTGGCGCCGATGTCCAGCGGCTCCTTCCGCGGTGCCTCTTTGGTCGAGGAGCTGTGTGCGCGCGGGCCCAGGCCTGGGCTACCCGCACCTCTGACCCATCACTGCTCACCGGAGGGCCTGGGTGGTGGATTGGCCTGGAAGGAACCAACGACTGGGTCACTACAAAAGGAAGACTGACCCCCAAAATCCTCCACCAACAATCACAAACAAAGGAAAACCCGGCAGACAACAAATGGGCTGAGGCCGAAGGCGGGGAAGGAGACACTTGGCCAGAGGAAAGAAAGTCCAGCCTGGGGCTGCGCTTCTAGGAAGCTCTGACAAAGTGACCAAGAAGCAGGACTCTGCTGGTATTTTGGACTTGATGTGCTCTTCTTGTCAGATGACCTCTGCGTTCCTGTACCTCTGAGTCCTTATTTTTTATGTACAACTTTGTCAAAGAATAGGGGCTTTGGGGCATGGGTATTTGTATATGGGAGTGGCCCCAGGAATGTTCTGATAGCAGTGTGGGGTTCCCTTGCCCTGCCTATGCTGATGCCCCAAATCTGTGACCTGGGAGAGACCATCAGAAGCAGTCAAATAAAAGAGAAAAGCTATCTCTGCCTGCTACCCCGTGGTCCAAGCTTGAGGCCTGTAATGTTGGTCTCAGGTCTAAAACCCACAGGTAGGTATTTGGGGGCACTGGTTCACGGCAAGTCCCCAGTTAAGGCTGATCACTCCGGGGGGGGGGGCGCTGAAGAAAATGCCATTAATTGGAAAGGGGGAGCAGGGTCTGGGAGACTAGGGATGTGGTCAGCCTCATCTCTGGTCCCCTGATGAACTGCTGGGAGCCCCACTGAAGGCTGCCATGAAGAGACTGGGCCAGTCTCAGGTGGGGCCGAGGACTGGGCTCAGCGAGCATCTGGCTGTATCTGCACTCCAAGTGATGAACGGATGGAGTTCCCAGGGAAGATTAGGTAGTACAGCCAGGGTCCTGGGGTGCCAGAGTTGGTGGAGTCCTGGAGGGGCCCAAGGGAAGGAGCTCAGGGAAGTGAGATCTCAAGCCAAGGGGATGGGAGGCAGAGCCAGCCCTGTCTGGAGAGCTGCTCTGCCTCCAGAATAAGTGCTCCTCAGTGCGTGTGTGAGCTCACTCAGGCTAATTGCGCTGACTTGCAGGTGCCGTCTGGTGGGGTGAGGACCCAGCTGTGTCAGGGAGGTGCAGGCTTTCTGGTCTCCTTGGAGAGTTGAGTTCTTGCCAACTCAGGAGCCGGGAGAGATATACAGCTCAGAACTGGGGACTCCACAGAGCGAGAGAGATAATCTAAGACCTAGGAAGGAGTGAGGGTTCCCCAGAATGGTTGAGGTAAGGCTCACTGCCATAATTAAAGACGGCTGCTTTTTGCAAGTAAGACATGGCTCACTTGGCACATCTTAAGACACTGGCATGCCGTCTCCACCCCACAGACTCCCAGTTTCACAGGGCAGGCGTCTGTGGCATGGGTCATTGGGAGATTTAGACTCAGAGGAGGAGGGCTTATGGGGGTTTACGCCAGGAGTAAAATGTGAGACTTAGATCCCAGGCCCACCCATGGAGACTTCCCTACCATGGAGAGGCAGTGACAAGGTCTGACAGTGGAGAGATAGAACTGGGCCAGTCTGGGACTCAGTCTCTGCTCTGCCTCTTACCACACGGGTGACTCACAGCATCACTTAACCTCTCTAAACCTCAGGTTCCTCACCTCTGACACACGATTCCACCTGGGGGTGACTAAGGATTAACATTCCTTCATAATGTACAGCTTCTGGCAATTAGGAGGTGTTCCACAAATTGTTACTGTCGTATATTATTATACTCCTATGACAGACCAGCCTGGACAATGCTTCCACCTTGCTTCAGCCTCAGGTGCTGCTTTTCTAAATTCCAGCATGCAAAGAGCTAAATGTCTTTGCATACCACATTCTCACCCCAGGAATGGTGAGGGTGCCCCCTGCAGGTGGGATTGTGAATGTGCTGCCAATGTGTGAGTTCATCTGGAATGATGATGGGCAAATGGCTTAGAGCGTATCCAGTATAATTTGCATCACAGGCTGAAATAATCCTTTGAAGTCACTTAGGATAGTGCCTGGATCAAGCAAGGATTCCATGAATGTAATCTATTAAGACATTTACCAGGGTTTATATCCTAAAAGGTAGGTTTATTTTAAAAAGGGAGAGGAGAGTAAAGGACACTTGCATAGACACAGTGGCCAGAAAGGAGTTGCCTACAAAAAGGACAAATTTGTTAAGAGAGACCTGCATAGTCACAGGTGGGCAGAAGGACTGCTACCTGCCAGGTTATTCTAAGGAGAGAAAATAGGGGAAGATGTTTTAGGACTTAAAGTCTACAACACATTATTTATTAACATTGTTTTATCAGGGCTATGTGTTTGTGTGTGCATATCTGCATACTTGTTTGCTGGTGTGTATTTGAGCTTTCTGAGGTTTATTGACACACACATGTGTGTTCACATGTATGATTGCATGTGTGATGAGTGTGTACTTCTATATAAGTGTCAACCTAACAGGTACCCCCTCCCCAAACTAATGCTAGGAGAGTCTAAGCCAGATAGCTTTAGGTATGTGCTTTCCAGGTTTTCTTTGATTTCCTGCTTGATTTTTTAAAAAATTTGCTTCCTAAGATCTATCCATTCTCCAAGATGATGGATTTTTTTTTGTGGATAGAAGACAAATCTGTTACTAAATAAATGGAACTTATCAACTGAGACCAGATAGATTTATCCAAATATAGTGAAAATAGTACAAGGATTGGTATTAAATGAATACAAAAGAGAAAGTTCTACAAAAGGAAAAAAATACATATATAAGTAGAACTACTAAAAATTATGGCCAAAAGATGGACCCATATAGCTAAAAAAGGACCCATATAGCTAAAAAAGAACTTATATAGCTACGAGATTAACAAGTTCAGTTCAATTAAATAGTGTTCAAAGGAGTGGGAGACAGAGACAGAGAGAGGATAGGAATTATTTATTGATACATACAAGAGCTGGGGTGTAGGCCAAGGTGTGGGGGACAGGATGAGAGGATTCACCAGAGATAGAGTGGGGAGCAGAACAGGCATTATCTACTCAAATACACTGCTGAGGGGAGCAGCGGGCGAGACAGGAAGAGGTCTGCTGCGCCAGGTGGGTCAGCTCCCTGGCCGGGGATCAAACTCAATAGCTTGATATCACTGAGACTTTAACCCCTGTGGCATCAGGAAGGCCCAAGAGAGTTAACTTTTAAAAGGAAGAGTATAGTAATAATTCCAGCACTTTCTGCAGCCTGACTGCTCATAAAGGCTCTCATACTTTCAGTCTTGGGGCTTCTCTAAGGAAGTCTAACCTTCCACATCCTTCCGTTATGCCTTGTTGCCTCTGCCACAGGGAACCCTGTCTCTCTAGCAATGAGTGAAACATCTCAACAACATAAATAACAACTATAGACCCAAAGTTGTCAGGGGGGTTAAGGTATGCTGTGAGTCTGTTCCCTTTTTTGGTAGAAAACAATTTGATGACATCATAATAAAAACAACTCCAAGGGAGTCATCCAAAAGGAAAAACAAATGTGCTGTGAGGGGGTCTCTGCGGCACTGTCTACAACAGAGAAACTTGAGAGATGACACAGTAGGGTCTCACTACCAGGCCCACGCTGGAACTCCAATAGCATGAAAATAGTGGTGAGCTCAAAGAGCGGATCACAAAATGGGCTGCGTCCATTGATGATAACGATGGACAAACATGAACAAACCTTGAGGGAATTTGGGGTGTAAACAGAATTACTATTTACTGGGTTCTTCATAACTGGTGGTACAAGGGGTTAAGTCTCAGCACAGCCAGTGCAGCATGAGTTCGATCCCTAGCCAGGGAGCTGACCCACATGGCGCAGCAGACCTCTCCTGACCCACCCGCTGCTCCCCTCAGCAGT